AAAAAAAAAAAAAAAAAAAAAAAAAAAAAAAAAAAAACCTACCTACCTTTGTCTAGGTTGTTTTTCTGGGCACCCGTGCACCCAACTTGTGCCCAGATACCCGCCCGGGTGTCAGGCCGGGCATGACCCCAGGGCGGGGTTCCAGGCACAGCCCCAGTGCAAAAAAAAAGAGCAAAAAAAAAAAACGGAAGTCAAAAAATTCCAGAAAACAAATATGTTGTGTAGAATTACAATACAAACAACTTCTGGCTGAGGATCACATCAGAATTCCTCACCGAATTGGAGATAAAAAAGGAAATAACAAAATCACACTTAGGGACCCTCCTTTAAACCCCCTTAGTCCCTTTAAAAACAATTTATACCCCCCTTCCCCCCCCTTGACAGCCAACTCTCAAAACTGAAAAGAGCCCGGATTTGGGGTCCTCTGGGAGAGCGCATATATATACATTTGTTTGCACGCCCAGGTGCCCGGCCAGGCATGAAAATCTTCCTAGCTTTTTTTTCTTTTCTTTGACCTGACCGGCCAAGTGATCCCGGGGCACTCTGGTAGCCTTTTTTTATGTTTTCCATTTTTTAACCACTTCTAAACAAAAGAGGGGGCGAAAGAAAAAAACAAAAGAAAAAAAAAAGTGAAAAGAAAAAAACAATGACTGGTAGTCTTGTCGATGATTACACATCCCAAAAAAAACATTGGCCTTACTGGACAGGCCAAATGACCTCTTCAGTCACTCGAGTACAAATTGCAAAACAAAAAGAAAAAGCAAAAAAAAAACCTCGATTTTAACAAAAAAAGCAGGCTTTCATCCTTTTAGTGTGTGCAATTTTGAATCAATCACAAGTATTACGAAATATAAACCTTTTTTTTTCTTTAAGGAATTCGATTTTCAGAACGTAGCACGAAGCATTTATAAAGGATACAAAGAATTTCAAATCTACACAAGGGGACAGCATATCCGACAAATCTGTCATAATAAGCTTACGCAAACTTCTTGTATAGATTTGAGATTCTCTTTATCCTTTATAAAATACTAATAGTGTGCAATTTTTTATTTTTTATTTTTTTGAAGTACCTCGGTGTCTGAGCTAGGAGAGGTTATAAGAGCACCCCCTCCTCACAAGAGACCTGGGTGTGTGCACAAAGAAAATTAGTAGTGTGCAAAAAAATGCCAAAAATAAAATTAATCTTACGTGAAATACAAGCAGCCGATAAAGCACTGCCAGAAGGTTGTAAGCTGAAACTTAGTTTTTTTCCATGAAAATGTTGACTAACGTCTTTGCAAGAGATGTCAAAAAAAAAAAAAAAAAAAAAAAAACAAGACTACGGCAATTTCCCGGGCGCCCGGGTGTCAAATTCTCGACCAGAATGGCACCCGGGGGCCTGGCCGGTCAGCACCCCCGGTCGGGCCCCCGGGCCGGTTTTGCGGAAGGCCCAAAAAAAATTTTTTCGGGGCCTGGGGGGTGCTCTGGGGTTTGTCGAGGCCGGTACCACCGGCAAAAAAAAAATTCGGCCTTCGAGGGCCCCGAAAACTGAGTGGCCGTGTCCCTGAGATCTGGCCGTCGATCTCGAAGATCGACGGCTGGATTTCGCAGATTTCAACTTAGTTTGCCCGCGCGTTTTCGCGCCGGCATGATGAGTTTGCCATCACAAAAACGCGCGGGCAAACGAGTTCGTCTGCAGAGTCGGCCATCGAAGCCCGCGCGACGACGACGAAGCTCCGAAAAAAACACCCTGTCGTTGCCCCGGGAGCCCGCCGCCATCGCCCGCCGGCCAGTCGTCGGCCATCGACGGTTGGTGTCTGTGTGTGTGTGTGTGTGTGTGTGTGTGTGTGTGTGTGTGTGTGTGTGTGTGAGTGTGTGTGAGAGAGATAGATAGATAGATAGAGATAGATAGATAGATAGATAGATAGATAGATAGATAGATAGAGAGAGAGAGAGAGAGAGAGAGAGAGAGAGAGA